ATAACATTTTATTTTAAATTTTAGTGTTATAAAATTATGATATTCTATTTAATTAATATTATTTTATATATTATTAATTATTATTATTTTATTAATATTAATTTTAAATTTAATTACATTTTAATGATTGAACCTTAAATTGGTTCAATGGACTATCCAATTTTTTTTTTTTTTTTATAAAAAATTAACAAATAGACCTAGTCTTAATATAATACAGGCCCAACAATTCAAAGACTCATTATAGTCGTATTTTAGTGAAAGACAATTTATTGGTTGATGATATATACACTACTTTTTTATTATAAGTACACTTTTTTCTAAATTTATTTATTTATACATTTTAAAATATTTTTAATTTTTTATCTTGTATTTTTTTAATTTTAATCTTTTATAATTTTCTTCTTATTTTTTTTACGTTCATGATATTTACTTGAAATTTATCTTTATTAAAAAAAAGAGATTTACTTAATTAATATGATACATGTGGGCCCCATCACTAGGTCCATGACTAGGAGAGTGGAAGAGGAGGAGGGAGCTCACCCACCTAAGGACACCCTCCTCATGATCATAGAGTACTAAAATACTCTCCTAAGCTTCATTTGTATAGGGATATTTTATTTTCCAATTTTACCCTTGTATTTTAGGGTATCGTAGTCATAGGATTTATTTTCTTTTGTATTTCCTATTTTACCCTTGTATTATGGGGTGCTTTAGATCATAGGTGTAACGACTCGATTGGTCACTACACACAACATAACACACCACACAGAAAAGATTAAGTATATACATATAACGTCTAGAATATATATATATATATATATATATGGGAGCGTATCAAGTGAGAAGTTTTTATTGTGAGAAGGTGAGAAGGTGGAAATATAACCTTTAGATTAATTTTCTCTCATTTGATTAAATCTCAAATTTTCTCTCACTTGATTAATCTAAGAGTTATATTTCCACATTCTCACCTTCTCACAATAAAAGCTTCTCACTTGATACTCTCCCTATATATATATATATATCATGAGTCAAACAAAAAAGAAAAAATATATAAAAGAATAAAAAAATAAAAAATAAAAAATAAAATATATTTTAAGATTTTTTTTATAAAAAAAATGTACTTCACACATGGAGGTGTATATATTATAAGCCCAATTTATTTAAAGAATAAAATACGAGGGCCAATAAAATTAAGGAATATGGGCATGTTGGCCATTGTTGGATTATTGTATGGGCCTCTTGTTGGGCTTTTTTCAGTTAGTTTGGTGGAATTGTGTCATGGTCATAAAAAAGAGAAAGAGAGTTTCATCACTAAGGATTAGGGTTTAAAGAGACGCACTCTTGCTATTTGTTTTCAGTTTCGGTGGTGTCGTAGCAGCGAAGCTCGGAGCTTAGTTTCTGACTCGAAGATGGTGCGCATGCTATTCTTACCTTTTCGTTCTACTTTTTAGTTTTCAAGTGTTTTGAATCTCGTGTTCATAATGGCTTTGATCTTTTTGCTTTCGCATTTTACTCAGATTAAATTTTTGATTTAGATGAAATGATTTGTTTTTAATCCACTTTCTGTTATCTTTGAACTCAGTTTAGTTCTTTGGTATCATAGTTTTGCTATTTGTTTGGAATTTAGATCCGTATTTCAATTCGTGGCGTTGTTATCCATTTTATAATGGATTCATGCCTTTGAAGAGTGTAACGGGTTCTTTAGATTTCGCTTTGCGCATGAAACTGGAAGAAAGTTGGGTTTTTGAGTACGATCTGTTTTCTGTGTATGCTTTTAAAATATTTTTGCAGCTTAGGAGTCTATATAATGTAACCCTAAGTTTTATTTTGTTTAATGTTAGACATGGATTGAAATCCTCGTTTTTTTTATTAATTGTGTTTAAGCTTTGAACATCGTTGCATGTGATTGTAACAGGCAAGAGGATTGAAGAAGCATTTGAAGAGGCTCAATGCCCCAAAGCATTGGATGCTTGACAAACTGGGTGGTGCATTTGTAAGTGAAGAGGCTCAAGGGTGCATTTCATAGACTGATGTGGAACATTTTTGTGCATTTCATAGACTGATGTGGAACATTTTTTCTCCTGTTTAGGCTCCTAAGCCCTCATCTGGACCCCACAAATCTAGGGAATGTTTGCCACTTATACTCATATTGCGAAACCGTCTGAAGTATGCTCTGACATACCGTGAAGTCATTGCTATTCTGATGCAGCGACATGTCCTTGTTGATGGCAAAGTCAGGACAGACAAGACATATCCTTCTGGTTTCATGGGTATATAGCTTGTCAATTTTAAGAATTACTGCTGCATTCATGTTGTTATGCCAATTTGCAATTTTTTGCGTGTTGGGGGTGGGGGTGTACATAATATGTTATGGTATTTCTTTGTTATTGTTTCTATTGTTTTTATTTGCTTCATGAGTTCTGAATTCTGATGTATTCCCCTTTATTTAATTAAGTACAACACCCAGCTACCTGAGTACCAGAGAGAATTTGTTCATTGCAATACTTTATGTTTCTACATTTTTATTGATTTGCTTGGAGGCATATTTTTCTTCTGAAAAAAATTATATTTCTTTACAGATGTTGTATCTATCCCTAAAACAAATGAGAACTTTCGCCTGCTGTATGACACAAAAGGTCGATTCCGTCTCCACTCAGTCAGGGATGAGGAGGCTAAGGTACTTTTGTTTGGTTGCACTGAATATTTTTCATCCTCCCCCTAGATGCAATTGCACTATTATTATATATTGAATAGCAGACTGGATTCATTGTGTTCAAGGGGTCATGTATATGCTATCAACTTGGTATTGAATGCTGATGCCAGGGAACCTTTGTAGCATCAGTTTTTGGATTGTGTAGTTTGAATTTTGACGTTGCAACCGAGTTCCCACTTAAATTGTTATGATTCATGGGTTTTCCTTGTATGATGACAGTTCAAGCTCTGTAAGGTTCGCTCAGTGCAGTTCGGGCAGAAAGGTATCCCATACCTGAACACCTATGATGGTCGAACTATCCGCTACCCAGATCCTCTCATCAGGGCCAATGATACCATTAAGCTAGATTTGGAGGAAAACAAGATTGTTGATTTCATCAAATTTGATGTGGGTAATGTAGTCATGGTGACCGGTGGAAGGAACAGAGGGCGTGTTGGAGTGATAAAAAACAGGGAGAGGCATAAGGGTAGCTTTGAGACTATCCATGTTCAGGATGCCACTGGGCATGAATTTACAACTCGTATGGGCAATGTGTTCACTATTGGCAAGGGCACGAAACCATGGATATCTCTTCCCAAGGGTAAAGGTATTAAGCTATCAATCATTGAGGAAGCTAGGAAAAGGATTGCTGCCCAACAAGCAACTGCTGCTTAAACCTTTTTAGGATATGAATAGACTTGAGTGCTTGGTATTTTTTGTTCAATGGTTTTTGTTTCTAATTTATTTTTCTCGAGATTTTATCTGTTGAATTTTGTCTCTTAAATGCACTATAGAACTTTTATTGTGGCGGCTATATTCATGAAGGAATCTTTCCATTCCTGGTTTTGATGTAGTTTAAATCGGATAAATTACTTAAGCAAGTCCACTCTAAAGAAATATCGGAATAACTTCTCTTGGGAAGGGATCATGTTGCTATGGAATATGGTTGGTTATTTATTTGAGTACTATATTGAGTGATTAAATTAACTTGGGAGTTGGGTTTTGCCGTGGCTAGTATTATGAAGTGCAAGTGTGGATTACAGCTTGTAAACTAAGCGTGAATCAATTTTATTTGCTAGCTGAGTCTCCAGTAGTAACTCTACCTTTTTTTTTCTTTTTTTTCTTAAACTATATTTTTAAGTCAATTTAGACAACTATGCTTATAATTGTTCATAAAAGAAAATGAATCAAAATATTTCCATTTTTTAATTTTACTTTTTGAAGTGATGTTGTAACCTCTCAACTCAACCAAACATGCGTCGTTCACTTTCTACTGAACATAAATTCTTGAAGTTTGATTTTAAGAAATTTTATGTGCGTTTCATATGTTCGTTTATGTCGTATACAAATAGAATCTACACATTTTGTTGCGGAGAAAAAATGTTTGCGCTAGTAATTTTTTCTGTTAAAATATTAGTATTGTGCTGTAACTGTTCAACCCTAGAATCTTTTAACATTGTGTTGAGGGACGTTTTTTTCTCTCCATCTTACATCAAACTCACTAGAATTTTAGGAAAAACACTTTGATGCTGTTATCTGTTGGGGAACCAATACATGTTAATGCATTCTACGTTTAAGGTCATGACTTATAAACCTCTGTTGAATAATTTCTAATCCATTTTACTCCTTATTAGTTATTGCAATCGTAATTGGACTCTCAAAAATCTATTCTCTCTTCTTTGCCACCTACTTTAGCTTTTTCCTCAACTAGGGTCAATATACAACTTCTTGTTAAGGACCACAATCCTTTGTACTTCTTTATGCACTTGGATGAAGGCCTCTTGAAACCATTGATAGTTGGAAGAGGTATCAAGTTTGAATCGCTTACTTCACTTTGCTGTTTTAGCCAAAAGGCATAAGTTAGCTTCTTCCTCTTCTCTTGAGTCACTAAAGGAACTCATGTCATTGTCCTTCCAAGTTATGTATGGATTTCTTGCTTTGAATGGATTTTTTTTTGTCCCTTTTATCCTTTTGTTGCTTCTTCAAATAGATTGGACAATCAACTCTTAATGTGCCCTTATTTTTCACATTCAAACCAAGTAATGGAACAACATTTCCTTCTTTCTTTTTGAAACTCTTCTCGTTCAAATTTGGTGCTTACTCGCTTTTTCTCCTTAAGAATTTGCTGAATTTTCTCACTATTAGGTTGAAGTGCTTAATGTTTGAATCATTTGAGCTTGAATATTCAACTATCTCCTTTCACTTTTCAAAGAATGAGGCTTTAAATGAGACTCCCTTGTGCTTTTTATCCATTTGCTCATTCTTATCAAGGGTGTGAAGTTTTTGCTCATGCTTCCTCAACTTACCAAAGAGGGTAGCTAATGACATTCTAGTCAAGTCTCTTCATTCCTCAATTGTAATGACCTTAGCTTGTCACGTTCTATTGTGGCATTTGAACACTTTTAGATTCAACTTTTCCTTCTCAAATTTCCAACCATGATTAATCAAATGAGTGGAGCATTTTTAAAATTAGAAATATTTTCCCCTTACATCATATGTAAGAGCTCATATTCTCTAATTAGTGTATGTTTCTTAGATCTTTTTACATCACTTGTTCTCTCATGAGTTAGCTATTAAGTGTCTCACATTTCTTTAGACGATTTCCATTGTAAGAGCCTAAAGAACTCATCATGTGATAGGGCAAATGTAATGATGTTTTTAACTTTAAAATCATATTGTGCTTTGTTCTTTTCATCATCAATTCACTTAATCAAATGTTTTTCTTCCTTCTTTCCTTTTTCTTCACTAGTAAGTATATATGGACTATTTTCAATAGCACCCCAAATGGTTGTGTCAGTTACTTCAATGAAAATTTTTATTCTTATCTTTCAATATACAATTTTCACCATTAAAAAAAAGGGTCAGTTTATTAAAACTTCTTCACCATAAGATAAAGTATTTCTAGTCATTTTAAAGAAAATTTAATCAATTTTCAAGAATCTTACTCAGTATATTAATTGTTAGAAAAAAAATTGTTGTATTCAAGAAGAGGGGGTGAATTGGATTGTTTAAAAATTCTTGGAACTTTCTTGGAATAAAATTTTTCTAAAGATTTCCAATTAACTAATTGCTTTTAACCAAGTTTGGGATGATGATGTTGAAATGAATTATGCAAGATATTTTTATACCGCCCCACAAAAATGTTTTTAATCAACTAAACAAATTATATGGATACTTTTAAAGCAATCAAGAAACAAAGAGAAAAGGTGAGAATAGCTTGCACAAGATTTATACTAGTTTCATCACAATCACCGTGACCTACATCTAGTCTCCTAATCAACTCAATTGAGAATTTCACTAAATCTTTAAATTCATAAGTTTTACAATCACAACCACATGCAATCTGCTCTATAAATGTAAAGAATCCCACTTCTTGAACCCTAAGAAGTACCCTTATAGAAACTCCACTATTAGTAACCTTTGCCACTTGAGAAACTTACTCAAAATTCAAACAAAGATAAAGGAAGGATATCACCTGATTTATTGAAATAAACAATACATATGTAAAGCTTAAACCATAGATTCTATAATCTTTAAGATTAATGATGACGAAACATGCTTCCATGATTCAAGATAGAAGATTCTTCAATTGATAAAACAATTGATAAAACAGTTTTCCATTATCTTCTCTCAATAATTCATAGCTCTATATCAAACTTAGGTGTTTAGTAGTGTAAAAATGAGTCACCCTTGAATTCTTAGATGAAATTTGTTAAATAGAATTTTTTACCTGAAATAATTGATTATTTTTTTAGTAATAATTGATTATTTTGTTCTTTATGGATATGGAAATCATCCAAGAACAATTTAATCAATTATTTTTTTATTTAATAGATTATTCTCGATAGCCTTTATAAAATAATTGATTATTCTAGCAATTGCTTCTAAGTTACTTAAAAATAAGGAAAAATCGATTATTTTTAAGGATAACCAATTATTTTGAGTAAAACTTAAACCTTCGAGTTTTCCATTTCAAATTGATTTTAAATCTTAAACATGATTATCATCAACCAATTAAGAAGATAATAAGATAACCTATGATTTAAATGCATGCATAAAGCAAAACTTGCACAACTAAACAACCAATACAAGTTGCACTATCTCAAAAGAGGCTTAACTATATTATACACTTTAGTAACATCAAAATCTTGAGCTTTGAACTTGATCTTAATCAACCTTTAACTCTAATGCTCCCCCTAAAGTGTGATTCTCTTCCATATAGTGTAACACCCTGTTTTTATAAAATATAATATAAGTATTTTATTAATAATTTTGATATTTTATTTTTATTAATAAGAGCTGGTTAATATTTATTTTATTATTATCTACTATATTTGTGATAATTACATATTTTGAATTTAGTAATTATTAGTAATTATTTTATACGAATATATATATATATATATATATATATATTGTGAGGTTTTATCATTAAAGGTTACATTATTTAATTATTTATAATACGGAAAAGGAACTTCTTTTTGATAACCATGATTCACATTTTTACTAAAGGATTAAAGGGTGGTTAAATTTTAAAAAGAAAAAAAGAAGAAGAGAGAGCTGATCAATTTTACGTTTTACATTTTTCTCACGTATGTGTTTACACTTTAGAGCTCAGAGAACCTAAAGGAGGAGGAAACCACTCAGAGTCGATCATCCATCTTTTTCTACTCATCAAGGTCAGGGAGAGTGAGAAATCTCGCTCTGGGTGTGGGAATGTATATTGGGCAGTGGAATTGGCCCCCAATCCTGTGTTTATTGTATGCTCATATATGAGGGTTTTTTTTCCAATTGTGTCTGTTTCACTTTTTTTTTTTCTTGTATATAATTAATTGTATGAATTGCTTAAATGAATGATTAATTTCAGTTTTAGAATTGTAATGATATGATTTGATATCTCTATGAGTTCCTATGAGAAATCTTAAGGGAATACATTGGAGTTATATGAGAAGATCGTTTGAAGATGTAATTGTTTGTGTAAATTGTACTGTTTTAATGTTTATTGTATGATTTAGAATACTTTTACCGATTATGTGAAGAGATTGATGATTTGGATACAGAATGCAAAAAATCGCAAATCTACAGAGTCTTGATCACAAAAACCACTTTGAGCGCCATTTCTGGCACTAAGCGTCAAGGTGACAGAAAACTGGTAATGTTGTTTGTGATCCTTAAGCTAAGCGTGAGACTGAGGCTTTGCGTGGCCCACACTGAGCGTGAGATTCCACGCTTAGTGTGGCTCAACCAGAGAGTTAAAATTACTCTTTGGAAGCCTTGCATTGAGCGCCCTATTTGGGGTTGGGTGCCAGTTGCTCTGTTATGCTTCTTTCCTTCTTTGTTTGGTAAATTTTATTTGTGCAATGTGAATCTTGTGTTACTTCTCTCTTTGTGATCTATGATATGTAATGATGTGAATTTCTTGTGTTATTCAATGTTATCTTTTAATGAATATAATTGATGAGTATGTGATGTGATAAAAATTAATATGGTGCAACAACATGATAACATTATATGATAATGAGACATGATAATGTGATATGAGAATGCATAGAGTCTTGATTTACATGTATCATTTGCATAAATGTTTTTAAGGGTACAATATGTAATACACTACTAGGGAAGGCCCCCTTGTCTAAAAGCTTAGGGATTAGTCCTTGGGGATAACTCGGTTTGTAAGTCCCAGTCTCGCCCATTGTGTGCATGGGATGTATCTTGTGCGACTTATCTATCCCAACTAGACCTTGGTAGTATGTACTTCTAGTGAGAGTGCACAAAGGGTGTGACCCGACATGTACTCCTAGACTACTTTACTTGTGTTGCTAGCGGCAATGCACCATGTGATGTTTTACTGGCGCTACATGCATGATAATATGTAATCCGTGTCCATTACATGTGCATTTTAATGTTATATGTTAAATTGATTTTTATGTCTTGGA